TTTGGAAAGTGGTGGTGAATATGGTTTGAAAAGTGGTGTATTTTAAGTGAAAATGGTACAGAATGAGCTTGAAGAACAATGAGTTTCTAAACGGCTCCTCCCGTGGTCAGATGGGGAATGCCATTTGAGACGTGCTGTTTCATGCGATTCCTTTGTCCATTGGAGAGGCATCAGCATTAAATCCCGAATTTATCAGCAAATTTCTATATCCTTATTCTTTAACACTCTTGTATCCACTATTTTCAATAATTTCTGCCCACATTCCAGGCATCACACCTGAACAAGCTTGCGTGAAATTAGGAGTTTGTGAGCTGACGATGACGAGCGTGACAGAGGACGATCTGTGGTGGACGTTAAATGACCAGTCTTCCACTGAAGCAGAATCGAAAAGTACGACTAAAATGGGACCTGTAACTACGACCACAGTAGAACCGAAAAGTTCGATTACAAGCACAGAAGAATCGAAAAGTGCGACTAAAAAAGGACTTGCAACTACGACCACAGAAGAATCGAAAAGTGCGACAAAAATAGGACCTGCAACCACGACCACAGTAGAATCGAAAAGTGCGACTAAAATAGGACCTGCAACTACGACCACAGTAGAATCGGGAAGTGCGAGTAAAATAGGACCTGCGATTGCGAGCACAGAAGGGTGGAAAGGAGGAAATGAAATAGGAACTGCGGCTCTGACAAAATCAGGATCGACAAGTACGAATAAAATAGGACCTGCAATGATCTTAGTTGCGTATAAGCTGATATATGTCTATGTGTTATGAACATTAATAAATGGTTAAAATTCGAATAGTTGTCAGAAATAAGGCAGTACTCACAGATCGAAAGTTGTTGGTAAAGCTCACTCTGGAATGCCTCGCTTCAACTTGCATTCTGAAGAGTGATAGCTTTTTGAAGGATATTCCACTCAATGGCTGAAGCATCGCACTGACATAGATGGACAACGGGGTATTTGAATAATGAATAATAGGGGTAGTAGAATCTACACGCGTGAGGCAGCGTTCAGACTTCGCGACGGCAGCGCTTCGGTCGCGCGTTCGACGCGATCGATGCAGTTGAAAGCATGCGCATCGATCGCGCGACCGAAGCGCTGCCGTCGCGAAGTCTGAACGCTGCCTAAACTACCGCATTGCTCACAGTGTTACTGTCCGAAAGAGGTTGAATTCACCGTTATGACGTAACTATCACTGTGAAAACTGAAGACGGAATCCACCTCGTATGTAACTTCAGGTGGAGGGAATGCGTCCCATTCGCTTCACATCAGATCAATCCGTGACACCTGCACACGAACTGTTCACAGTTGGTCCCACCCGACTCCCTAAGCGTAAATATGTGAAAGACACGCTGGTGGGCATTGTCCGGACGCGAGAAAAAAGAAAAAAGAAATCTGAAGAGGACACGCGTCGTGGTTGCGATTGAGTTTGTTGGGGCTCGCCCGCGCGGCCGAGTTATCCAAACGCACCGCTGTCGGGGTCCTAAGACCCTGCCTAAGTAAACATGCAACTTCTGGAGGTGGAAATATCCTTGTTAAGCCAACTGTGGAACACGACGATATGTTCTTATGCCGTAGACCTATGTAAGTGGGAGGCGTAAGACACTATTGCAACGAACCTTCCGGCAAATCCCGTGTGAGGCAAAGGAAGGGTAACCATAGAACAAAAACATGAGAGCAGGGCACATCATCGGTTAAGAATTTTAGTCGACTTTATACGACCCCCCCACCCCTTTTTTGGGAGTGGGTACGACCTCCCCCCTCCCCAGCCTTAATGTCCTTCCTCATTGAATCGACGCCATCCGAAGCGGCGGGAAAAGTTCGTGAGCAGGAAAAATCCACCAAAAGTCAACCGCCGCCCACACACGAACGCCAAAACGTATGTACGACCCCCCCTCCCAAAAATGACCAAGTACTACCCCTCCCCCCTTCACAATACACATGATATACATGAAGCGAGAAAAATCAACTATCAAAATAAATAATTTTTTCCCAGATCAAATACGATCCCCCCTATTTGGGATTCCCCAACAACGATGTGCCCTGCATGAGAGGCGAGTAACAAAAGACACATGACGTAACATGTCTTCGCCTTTTACACCTCTTAAAAGAAAGTGCTGCTGAATTATTTTGTGTAAGAAACTATTATCTGTGAAACGTCATCTACTTTCAATCTATGTAATCTGACGTCATCTACGATAAACTATCCTACAGGAATACTCACCTACCTGCGTGCCCTGTGCACTTCTAGCCATCTTTGCCTTAATCAGGCACGTGACTGTGCGCAGGTCCAACAACCAGTCATGTCTCCTCTGAGGGACAAGAGTTACCTGAGATGTGATCTTTCCACTACATGCGGCTTGCGTTGTCGAAGACATCCGACATCCAACGTCTGGATCATTCGGGTGGCGGCGTGGGTGGCAGCCACACGGGGCGTACAGCGAAGAGTAGAGACCTGACAGTATCAAAGCGATGGCTATGTCTCAATCCACCCGGCATAAAAGATTGCCGTCGCTGAAAATTCGGGCCCGAATGGCGGCTTTTGATGGGTTGTAGATTACGGTAGCGCGCCACAGTAGGCCCTCAGGGCCTCCCAGTCCTAATCGTTTTTCCACTTTACACAGTTTTCTAAAAAAAACCTAATTTTTCCTCAAGTGAAGATGGAGGGGAAGTCGCTAGAGAAGAAACTGATACCCCCTTTTCTAGCAACATACTCGCTATTCACAATGAAAACACAGCAGAGCAACTACAAGACAGTTCATGTCGGAGCGTAAGTGTGGATGGCAGTGATACTGTGTGATAAGATAGAAGCACAGTATTTAACAGACCTTATCGGTGAAACTCCATTTAGCCGAAGTTGTTGAGTTCCGGCCATATCATTCGCTTTCAACACCAACTGCTGTCAACATAGCTGTCATCGGTCCTAAAAGACGTGAGTTTTACCTGGAGTGAAGGTGCTGGAACGATGGTACTATGAGGCCGCAATCAACACATGAAATCGTTTCTTCTGACCATGAAACCATGGAATCTGAGAAGTGGACGGGAAGAAAATTTGTACAAACGTTCTTTTCAATGCTCACACGTGGATTAAAATTTGTGGTCACCTTGGGTGAAGACGCGCGCTTTACGAACTTGAACGGAAAGAAAAATGGAACAAACGGGTTGTTTTTCATGTCAACATAGACGATTACAATTCTATAGTCATCTTAGGCCAGGATACGCGTTAGAACTGTGAAAGTGATCATTCTCGAGCTGAAGTTATGGGGGATGATCAACCAAGTGTATGGGCAGAAACGGAAGACCTTCCATGGGACCCCTTACTAAATGCGCTCGCTTTGTTTCGTTGGGCCGCGCTCATAGCTTACGACCAAGAGAGTGAAAACTGGGTTACTCAGCGTTATCGGTAATTCGATGCTTTCGGAGGCTCCGTTGATAAGATTAGAGAGTATCGACTGATTAGGTCCCTCTCCATTCGAAAAACAGACATGACAATGAGTACACTCTAGTTCGCTGCGGACGGTTGGGCGTGTCAGGCAGTATGAGTGTGTCACCCCGTCAAAGCCGTTCTCTGCCTTCTTGTTGAAGCGCGCATGCGACAAAAAGTGGTAGAAAACGAGTAATACGAACGATATGATACAGTCATATCATTTGCTCGCTTTAACAACTGGTGGAGAACGGGTTTGGCACCGCGCCAAACTCATCCCGCCTGACACGCCCAACCGTCCGCAGTGAACTACACTATATTCACCCTTTTCAGCGTAAGTCTCCGAAAACTCCAATATCCAATTCTGCAGCTGGGTGGAGCTAATCGATTAGATCTTGATCCTTTCAGTGCATTCTCCTAGAATGTCGGAATCAATGCGTATCCTTTTCTCTGAAGACGATGCCCGCGATAAGATATTCCAAGTAACAGTGCTCGAATAGCGATTTCAGTACGCCAAAAAAGTCAATGGTGGAGAAAACAGAAAAAAGGTCACGAAGCTCCAATCGGCTTATGGAAACGTTTCTTCTGACCACGAGACCATGGTGTCTGACAAGTGAAAGGAAAGAAAAATGGTACAATACCCTAGCAAGCGCAGTTGTACGAGCAGAGGGATGACCAAAGGATGTGATCGAACGAGCATCGTCGGCTCCTCATTTGTGATTCCGCCACGAGAA